AGGGAAGTAAGTTGCAAGTCTCACACTTCCCTTTGTTCTGTATATTGGTTCCACATGTTCAGCTATGTAATCTTCTGTAACCCGATTCGGGACTTTCACAGCAGCAATATTCCGTGTTGATATACGAGCAGGAAGATCCTTTATCACTCTGACCACCCCTTCCATGCTTTTCATGAACACATCAACATCATAAATGTCCTCAAAGTTCCTGACATTTCAATTATATTAGTTACCAACATCTACACCGTTACAATTTACACTCAAAAAGTAAAATAGACTGAACAGAAAATTGAGTTCAAGAGCTATTCATCAACGACATTTACAATTAAGTATGCTCAGATTGGCCCTTGTCTAATGGAGTGCACTAAGCCATTTTCTATTTTACTTTTAGTCTACAACCACGGCATATTAATATGTTTTGAATAAGGGTGAGGATGGAGGGCATAAAAATGAGTCACAACTATTAGTAAGTAAACATTATATACAGATTATATGAGAAATTTTCTAGCCAAGCCTTTCAATCATGTGGTTGATATAAATCACAAACAAAAACCATCTTCCTACACTCTTCCTCGTGATGTTTTACTTCCATCATTTCACTAGTACAATGTTTCTTAATAGCCAGAAAATCACTAAGGCAAGATGTCTAGAGACCGATCAATTAAAATAAAGTAGCATCACTTATTTCGAGGACCAATGATCCAAAAGCCCAAGTTTTAAAGAGAAAGAACAAGGTTGGTTTCTGAGAAGATTCAGACCCCAATCATTTACAAACAAAAAGGCATGAAAAGAAAATTTATTCGGCAGTTGAGAAATAAGCCTAATTCACTTTCAGCTTATCGTTTAAAATTACCGAGGGAGAAGGGAACCCTTTATAGAATAAGCAAAGCAGAGGTTAAAATATGGACACGGGATTAAAATAAATGCTCTCATCCGTGTAGATTTTATAGAAAAAAATTCAGTACTAACCTTCTGTCACCAGGTTGGCTTCCTCTGATGTCAGGTATCACAAGCGTTGCCCCCAGACTTCTAGCAACAATCACTGCATCTGCTATCTGATAACCATCACTAAAGTGTTAGAGAATAAAGAAATCAGGCATATCTATATCAGGATCTGAGTACACTTTTTATTGATGATTTGTGTACATCTTAAGCTATGACCAACAAATAAAGCACTGACAAATATAAATGTCAGCAACTGGCATCAACAATCAGGAAGGGCGAAAAGAAGAGGCAAAACAGATCATCGTCACTTTTCGAAAGTGTTCATCTCAATACTTGACTTCAAGGATAAGTGCTAGATTGAAAGCACAGGTAAATGAAAGAATCACAGGCATCACGATCCACCAATTTATGAATGAAAATGCTAATAATAACATCAATGTACAATGATGCGTTTTAATAAAGGGTGACATGAATAAAATTGTAGCAAAACATAAACTTCACGTAATCATCATCACACGATGAGCACAATAATGGCACCATTTATTTTCGTAGGAGAGGGATGTCCATTATGAAAGGGAACGTATTTTTATCGTTTGCATAACTGCTGCAAGTACTTGTATATACATAAGCAACTTCTCAATAAGTTAAGCATAATGATTGAATAAGTTACCTGAGAAATATGGTATTCGGGGCCATTGGTTAATGCAAAAGTAACAAATCCTTCAGTCTGCTCTACATCATCTGTCACCCATGACAATACAGGTGTCAAATATTTACTATTTGTTAGCATTTGTATGATATAAGTTCCTCAACAACTTCTGTGAGTCTTAAAACAAAACCTTACCAGCAGATGGCTTAACCCAACACGGTTTTAAGTCATCCACGTCTCCCTTCCAAAGTCCTATATTCTTTCTCACATGAGTAGCATCAAACTTAGCAGTCTCAAAGTTGGAATCCTCCGATCCTCCAGGTAGCTTTTCCTTGCAAAGTAAAAGTAAAAAAAAAAATGAAATCAGTGTCTTTGAAAGTGAGAAGAGTAAAAGTAGAAATAAGCCAGCTCCAGAAAACACACGGAACCGTATTAGGAACTGGGTTCCTGAGAAAAGGTAGAGAGATACAGCAGATGGGAGAAGGGTGAAATAGAGATCAGAGACTCTGGGATTTGTTTACTTAGGTAATTAACCTATTTGGGCAGAGCTCACACTTTCTTCCAAAATTCTATCATTAGAGAAGACTAATTGATCACCAATAGGAATTCACACTCCTAGCCAACTGGGAGTTCAGATATTGAAATATGGTCTAAATAGTTAATAGTTTGACAATCATTGTAAAACACAAGCTTCTGTGGTGGAATTGAAGAGAATGGATGAGCAATGCAGAAGATATGGTTGAACTATATAACATTCCTGTGAGTATTTGATTGAAAATGATCTATAAAACAACTGGGGTCTTCTCTCCTGGCTCAAGTTTGTGAATGTGAACAGGGGATCTATAAATAATGTATGTGAAAGAAATAGAAGTGTTATGTTATGTGGGTGTTGTGATGTGTGTGAAGTGTGGAAATGGAAATGGAAATGAACAAGTAATGGGGAAGGGAAAGAAAGATGGAGAGAAAAAGGGGTTACTTGAAGTGAATCAAAATGGTCTCTTTTGATCATATTTCCAAGCATGACAAACATTGTGAGGGTGAGAACTGCTGCAACCACTTGTCTCAAATCTACTCCCATATCTTCTTTCTGCTCTCTTCTGCTTCAATCCCTCACCTTTTTAATAAACCCTCTGAAAACAAAAAGGAACCTTGAGACTCTGATATTTGATGAGATGAAATTGCAAGGTTGAGCACATGAAAGATAAGAAAACTCACTCAACAAGTACAAATATGCTAATGCCTTATACCAAACTTCCTCTTTCTAATTATTATTTATTAACAAAACTTTCTACCTTTTACACCACCGACACTTCCGCTGCAAAAATCAAATCTTCTCCAACATCCTTAGCCTTCCTCTCTTTTTTCCTTCAAATAATGTTTTTCTGATTTTTTCAACCACTGCACAACTTTTGTTGACCTTTAATTCTCCTTTAGACTATATTTTAAAATCTATGCGTATAAACTAACTAATTAAATGCATACATTATTGCATATAATTTCAAAAATAAATCTCAGTTATTTTACTCATAAATGCTTCTTTCATTTTAAATGTCTTCCTCCAAACACAATATATTATTATATTTTGATTTTATAAAGATATATGTCAATACCTATATTTTATATATTTACAGGTATAAATAGTTGTGGATATTAGTATATATTTACAAATGTATTTTAAAAAACAATAACTTTATGTTTAAATAAATATATACATAAATTTTATAAGAGGCAAGGGATGTTTATAACAAAAGATATTTTAACTTACGTATGAAAAAAATGTATATATAGGATGATGCAAGTTGCATTTGCATTAAGCAGGTGGTTCAAACTGCATATTTATTTGTAATTTATTTCTCTTTTATTATAGATCACCTAAGCTTTATTTTTAAGAACACCTAATCAATTAATACAAAATTTAAAAGTATAGGTTTAATATAAATACATGCATGATAACAATTTACATATGATACAATTATTTTTATTTTACAAAATAGTTTATCTGGTGTGGTTAAATGTCTTGGTACAGAAGATGTTGGACATCACAACTTCTTCAGTCTAAAGTCAGAGACATCTCAACTTGTTCAGTCTAAAGACTTAACCTTTCTGAGATGTGATGTTAGTAATAGAACACAAATTACTGAAGAGGTATCTGGTATTTGTTATTTTCATATTGGTAGGTAAGAAAGCGAGTCTGCTGCAAAAAATCATAAAGGGCATTGTTTTTTTTTTTTTTTTTGTAAACAGTGTGTAGTGAGTTACTGAGAACGAATGCAACCTACAAACAACCAGTGAAACAAACAAACATCTTTTTCTTTTACAAATATAAATATATATTATGGAAGCAAAGAATCAAATAGGGTTCTTTATATTGAATGGAAGGAGGAGTTAACCGATTATATCAAATTTTAAAGTTTGTTGAGAAAAGTACACTTCATCAGTTAACTAGATTTTGAAGTTCAATTTTCAATATGGATATGACATTATAAGACGATATAATATAATTTAAACTTGGAAAATGACACTTGAACAATCATTTTTGACAACATTCAGACACGCGCACACGTGTCTAAATTTGAGTGGTCCATTTTCATTTAATTTTTCCAACTGGACCACTCAAATTTAGACACATGTGCGCGTGTCTAAATGTTGTCAAAAATGGTTGTTCAAGTATCATTTTCCTTTAAACTTATTGATTTCCATCTCATATCTGAAATATTTTATAGAAATATTTCAGAGGAAAGATGAAATAAGATGGGATTAGATGAAATGTCCTAATATAATGCTTAATTGTTGTTTATTGTGATAGATTTGTGTTAGAATGTTGTGCAGGCAATTACCTCCACCAGGATTTCTTTTTTTGGTTAAAATATCTGTAATATTTATTTCTTTGGAAATTTTAGGTATGGTTGCCCTAATGAACGCAATAGACTCATTGATTTTTTCTAAAATATTTCGATATTTTGTATTCAATTATAAATGTATTTCTGAAGCTAGTTTTGATGTTGACTGTGAGAAATTTATTCAATATTTTCAGTATATACAATCATAATGCGAAGAACAAGAAACAAATAAACACTTAAACATGATAGACAGTTAATTTGTCATGTTGTCTACACGTAAAATGCTAAATAAAAATAAGACACATAGCTTTTAAAAATTTAGAGAACAAGATAAATATATACACGCATGTAATGGCTTATGGTGCCCTTAAAATCTCTATCACTAATTTGATATATAAAGTTAGAGTTTTAATTATATGTACATCTATTTATTTTATTAGAGTCAGTCCCTCTAATATATTTCTTTGATATTTCTTCTAGTGTTACTTACTTTTTACTAAAACTAATTGTTTTTATAATTTTAAAAATAAAAAACAGTATTGAAAATCAATATGAATGACTGAAATAAAATTATAATTTTAAGTAATAAACGGTTGTATTAAAATAAGTCTGAATTTTGTCTAATTATTATTTAGTGAAGATAATTGAGGGTGGAGGAAGGTAAGCAGTGAGATCAATGATGATAGTTTAGCAGAGCAGTAATTGTACTAATTATTATTGATGTTGCTTCTGTGTGCAAGGCTCTTTGATCTGATGGATAGCGTAATGCACGATACATTTTAATTCATCACAAGTATAAAAATAATCTGTTTTTCTTTTTCACTAAATAGCCCTCTTTCTAGTTTAATTGATTAATAACATCTCTCATTGTGGGTCTCTTGTGTGGATCCTTCTCAGTACATCTCAAACCAACCAAAAACACTTTAGTAAGGTTTTCCATTATATGGGTATCAGCAAATTCGCAGGAAAGTATTGAATCAGCAATTTGATGAATTTGTCCTGTTTCCCTCCAGACAGACCTAACCCAATCCACCAAAACACCATCCTGATACGAAGGATCTGTGGCTGCCTTCTTTCTTGTTATCAGCTCAAGCAAAACAACCCCGTAACTGTACACATCAGACTCCCTACTACTTGTTGCATAAGCATTCTCTGTCAATGTCACAAACAAGCCAACAAGCATGTTACTTAATGCATAAGTGATTTATGAAATCTGATTTGTAAAGGAAACACACATCCAATCAATAATAATGTACAAGACTTACCTGGAGCAATATAACCAATTGTACCCGGCACAGCAATGGAAGTATTTGAAGCAGGAGAAGACTGTTCCAGAAGTTTGGCAATACCAAAGTCAGCAATGTGAGGCACCATGTCGGAGTCTAGAAGTATATTGCTGGGCTTGATGTCTCGGTGCACGATGGGAGGGTCACAGTCATAGTGGAGATAAGCTAATCCATGAGCAATTCCAACAGCTATCTCATACCGGACATTCCACTTTAAGGTTGGTGTTGGAGCCCTTTCATGCAAAACATCATGGAGACTTCCATTTACCATGTAGCTGTACAAAATTAGACCACAATCTTTTCTCAACCAAAAGTCTTCCAATTTGACAAGATTTCGATGCCTGATTTTCCCAAGGGTCTGAATTTCTCTGGCCATGCTCGAGTTCTTACCTTGACTGGCAGTAAATCTTATCTTTTTCACCGCAAAAGCTTTGTCTGGACCTATCAGAACTTTATAAACAATTCCGTGGGCTCCTCTACCAATAATATATCGATCATTTAGGTTTTCTGTAGCCTCCATGACTTTGTTAAGAAGGGATGAAGAACCCTGTTCAGAAGAGATATGGTTTTCCTGCTTAGCTGTTCTCCCAAAAACAACAACACAAACTAATGCCAGCAACGACAAACCAAGAAATATGGATAATCCAAGAAACATCTTCACAATTTGAACTTTACTCAAGCCTTTCCGTTTAGCAGATTTGTCATCGCATGATTTTAGAGAGCTTCTTTCCGAGCAAGCCAAGCAATCTGACGTTGAACATCTGATGCATAGGCCAGGATTGCCCAGGAACGATGACAAGGGACAATTAAGCAACTTCATCAGCGCCTTTGGTACAATACCACTAAAAGAATTGTATGAAATATTGAGTTCCACTAAGGAGATGAGTTCACCAAGAACTTCTATGCTTCCTGTCAAATTGTTATGAGACAGAGCTAGTGTTCGCAACATTTTCAGGTTCCTAATCTCTACAGGAATTTCACCAGTCAACCCATTTGAACTTAGATTCAAACCATAGATCAAGTTCTGCATTGCTCCAACTGATATGGGAATTTTGCCTCCGAACAGATTGCCACCAAGTTGTAGCTCAGAAATCATCTTGAATTCCGACAGGAAAGATGGGAGGCCCCCACTAAAGCGATTCTCGCTCAAAATTAACGTGGTTAACCTTGTCCAGCTCTGCAGACTTGATGGCAATGAACCATTTAGGAAATTGAATCCGACATCAAACTTGTCCATTTGGGTGCACTTTGATAGCTGAGAGGGCAAAGGACCTTCTAAGTTGTTGTGAGCCAGATTCAAAGTCCGAAGATTCACTAGGTTCCCTAGCTCTGATGGTATTGGCCCTGTAAATTTGTT